TACATTTGAAGTATGAAAAAAAGATACGTTAAGTTTATTTTGTTAATAAGACAAACTGTGCAACTTGGAAACAAATTTGAAGGTTGGGTGATTAGTTTATGTCTTAACATTTGAGGATTTGCATGGATATAAAGGGCAGGCAGTTCCACTCTCCTTTTCCCTGAACTTGAGTTGACTTCTTCACATTCACTATGGCAACCTCAATGATCAACACATACAGGAGCTCTGAAGTGCATGCCAAAACTTTCCAACGTTAATAATGAATAGGTGTGAACTCCACTTTGCAAGCTTCTCTGAACAAGTCAATGCAAAGCTAATGTAATTTTAGGGTGTCGTTTCCTTCTCACAGTATACCACCGTGAAGGTCTAATCCCAGACAGCAACCTTTGTGGACATTTGCTTTTTCCCCCACTATACTACATAACTCAGCACCTTTGATCCCCCCTTCTTACTCTGACATTGACCAATGTAGCTTGATTTGCATCCTCTCAGTTTAAACAAAGTAACATTGGAAGGCAAATGTTGCTGGAGCAAAAGACTTTGGTATAATGCATCTTTTCCTTTAGTGAGGATGCAAGCCTCAGCTGCCCTAATATTTAACTGAAGCAGATCCCCATTTGCTTATCTGTTTAATCGCACTTTTATCTAGGCCAGCTGCTGCTCCTGCTGCTGCTATAGCCACTCCTAATTGGAAGGACGTTGCTCTGGTATCCTGGTGGTTTAAAACTGAGAGACTGCTACCTAGAACCTGCACCCACATTGGTATCTGAATCGGGCTGCTTTGTAAATCGCATTGTATGTTTTAGCATAAAAGATAAGCTTTCAGGATACAATTTTATTTCAGACTTCTACTGCTAGGCATTTTATCACAGTACTTTTACGTGAACTGAAGATTGATCATTGATTTCATAACCAAAAATGACTTTAGTTCTGCATAATATTACTTAAAACTCATAAAGACAATTTTATACTTGAGTAGTTATTATTCCTTCCATCTATTTGGGTCAGTTTAATGGTACATTAATAATTATTAATGTGAACTGGAATCTATTATGTGGTTGTATTCCTATTAGAGCCCCTGAAAAAACTTGAAATCAAAGCCTCTAAATATTATTTATCGTTTTATGGTTTGCTTTATTTTCTTTTTAAAACATTGCTGTATATCTGAGTAGTGAACATAACATTTGTGAAAGTGAACTTTCTCCAAAATGTGATCAGTCCAACCGTTTTTTAGTTGTAATGTCTCAGAGAAATAGCACTTTAGTCATGATGATAGGGTACCTTCAAAAACTGTTCTGGTAATTACTTTTCTGTGGCCCCTGTTGAGACAGGTGGTCTTACTGGACATTGATTTGTTTAGTCTGAATAGAACTTCAGATAAGAGACAAACCAAATTATGCAATAATGTATGAATTGAGAGCCACTTGTGTTGAAAAACAAAATAGGACTGAATCTTATATTTAAACAAGTGAAAATTGTTTAAATATTCACTTGAAATTTAAAGCTTCTGTGAAAATTGTTTCTCTTGCACCAATAATGTACATTGAGCTCTGTGCTGGCATTGAAGATGGAGTTCTGCAAAGGCTCCAAGCACCTCAGTAACACCACTTCTTAGAATTATATTAAGCCAGTTGGGACATGATGAAAGAATGCAAGGTATAAACCCCTTGAGGGTCCATGAGTCACCATGTAGAAAGGTTCTTGAAAGGGGAAGAATGTTTTATAGTTTGATCAATAGGAACCTGAGAAGTAGGCTGCAGGGTAAATATAAGTTGAGGATTAAAAACTTTTGGAAACTTGAAGAATTGAATTATAATCCTAAGAAAGTTCCCAGGAGAAAAAGAGAGATACAGAAAGAGACTTTTTCATCCCATCTCAACCAGCAGCCAACCTTTGTTCTAGGTCAGAGTACAGCCAAAATAGATTTGATGATAATCAGCCTTAATTATCTCAGCGCTATTGCAGAACTAAGGCATGAACAGAGTTTTCTAGAGAGCCAAGTGCCCACTATAGTAGTTTCGGGTGGATACCAAAAGGAAGTAAAAATGGGGTTGCAGGCTGCAAAACTTAGAGCAACTTTTCCATAGAATACTTCATATAAAAAGGTTTCTTATTCCATTTTCCCAGCCAGAATGAAGCTTTACTTTGAAACGTATGTGTATTTTCAGTGTTGCAGTTGGGTTTTCCTTTCTCTCCTTACTATTATTTTAGTGTCAGTGAACAGGCTATTGCATTAGTGTGGGTATGACAGTTTAGATTGTGTTTATAAAGGAGGCAGTCTGTTTAATGGTATAGCCACTGTCACAAGCACAAAAGCATAAATACAGGAGCCTGGCTGAGAATTTCTGAACTCAGCAGATTGTAACAGTTACTGATACTCCTTTGGCTTTTGCCTTATTCTTAGAAAATTTACAGAACCCTACCATGAAACATGATTAAATAAAAACAGACTTCCAGGAGCTACTGTTTATGTGGTACACTCAGCATGATCAGATCAGAGTACAAACAGCTCTATGCCATATCCATGAATGCAGCAGGTCTCTCCTTGGCAGAAGGTAAATGTGGTGGCCATGAGGACAGGAAGGTATGGCAGTGAGAAAGGCAAAGGGGAAGCCCTACTAAAGGACTCATGCCCTTGGAGTTGCATGCAGCGCAAAGCCCCTTTTCAGTTTTTCCTGTCTGGGTTACACAGAGGAGGCTTTGTGTAGAGCATTTCTTAATGCACCCAATCAGAAATATGACGGAAGTTACTCCTCTTGATGAGACACTAGAGGAAGAAAGCAGGAGATAATGACAAGGGAGGAAATAAAAGAGGGATAGGTGAGTAAGGTAGACAGCTAAGTCTAGTTTGATCCCAGTGTTGTACCAATCTTATCAGTGCCGTGTCTGGGTCTCACAACCTCTGGTGTTCTATGATGGATCCTCATTTATGCCAAGAGCTGGCTACCTGGCAGCCAAATCCTGCACAAGATACGAAGAGCCTGGAAATGCAGGACTTCTGTTCCTGGATCTGCTCCTCTGATGAAGAGGTGCAAGTGTCTGCGTAGCTACTTGACCACCGTAAATACCATTGTTTCCTCTTCCTGGAGGACACCCAGAGAACCCTCATAGAACATGGTGTGACAACTACTGACACATGGGGTTATCATAGGTTTTATGCCACAAACAATACATTTAAAGTATGTGTAAAAGACTTACTTCACAAGAACCTAAAAACACTTCTTTGGGAAGAATCAGAAAAAATAATTATTTTTGAATTGAAATTCAGGTGCACACTCATTTATGAACACTGAACCCAAAAGAGCTGAGGTCTCCCCAATTTTGGAGCTCATGTAGAAAGTTTTCCTCAGTCTCCTTGGATGGAAAACTTAAACTGCCCCCCTGTTTAGTGCTTCCTACAGTTTATGACTCTCAATTCAGGCTCTAACTCACCAGTAGGGGAATAGGGATATTCTGGTATATATAGGTCTTTCTGGGCAAACCAGTGAAGCAAGTCTCACAGCTGTTCTTTTAAGAACCCAAGTTCCCCTAACTTGGGTTCTAAGCCTGGGCCAGCCAAATGGCACTTGTATAGAACCTCTTCCCAAACCAGCGCTCTTGGGCAATCTTTCTTCTGAAACATTATGTGTTTCCAATAGGGAGGAAAAGAAGAAATGAAGTAATTTTTTGTCCAGGAATACTCCTTTGTAAAGGTTGATTTCAGGGCTAGCAAAGATGCCTTCATAGAAGGCAGTTATTTGTGAAAGCCGAGGTGATGGGGTTTGAAACTGACGAAGGGATGAGGACTTAGCTTTTCTTTTGAAGGTGACTTTCTGCCCATGGATCTTCCATTTCCATTAATCAGAAGTATTCCTTAAAAAAAGAAGAAGAAAAAAAAAAAAAGCTGGAGAGAAAAGAAAAACACAAACCAACCTCCTGTTCCATGCCCCAGGCAATCTTCTTGTGTAAAGCAATCTGTGGCAGCTAGTCAGGTGTCCTGGCAGGAGTTTTCCCCTTCAACTCTGGCTGGGCGCTTCTTAGAATCTCTTAAAGAAACATCCTGCAGAGCTCCCACTTAGGCCTGCTCTTTCTCTCCTGATGTCTCTCTGTGGCATCTTTTCAGATGCGTTTTTAGAAGATCATTTTGGATGGGGAAAGTATAGGCCTGGGCTTATGATGATGAGGGATTTCCTGTCAGTCTGGAGAAGCTAGAACATATATAAGTGCTCCTGGGTGTGGGGAAAGGAGGCAAAGACGCTGCCTACCAGTTTTCCAAGTGCTGTGTGCGCCCTTATCCCCAGAACGATCCTTTGCTCTTCTACCATAGCACGCATCTGAAAATCTCAGGGCCCTTATAACCGTTAGGCATTTACAGGGACTGAAATGTAATGAAGGAATTGTTCTTCCTATTTCTGGAGGTAAACGAAATACGAAAAGGAAATTAGCATTAGAATAAATCCTGACTCAGTTTTTTTTTAAGTTCCATCTTTAAATCAAACTGTATTTCTCCCAAAATTAAAAATAAAAGTTATGGCCACTTAACAAAAAAGAATTCACACAAAATGTTGTACTGTGTATAATTTGCGATTGTTACACTATGTACTACATAGTCAATGCAGTACCTTTGTTAGCTTAGTGTTTTTAGATTCTTAAAACAAGGTATATTGAAAGAAAGGTTACATTTATCTTTCTCTCATGCATATAAATTTAGTGCAAGCCCCTGTTTTAAGGAGCTTTATGTGGTAGAATTGACATTGCTTAATAAACAATGGGAAAAGTTAAGCATAACCTAGAAGTCATTTAAAACTGTGAGTCACTTTCCTGACAAGCCAATAGGGTAAGAGAACCAAGGTTGCAAAATAATTACTAGCCCAGCCTGAGGGACCATGGAAATATATTACAGGTATCAGTTAAGAAAACAAAGCAGTGGGTGTTTTACCACTCTGCAGAGAACAAGCTAAGGTTGCTAACCAAACAAAATAACTTTACACTGACAATGCCAATTTTTACATTTCTTTCAGAACAAGGGACACTCAAACTACCAGAGGTAAGATTAACATTTTAAATATTTTTTATAACCTTTGCATTTCAAGTTGTTTGCTAACTGAACCAGGTTTGAGCTTTTACACTGTTAAATGCGCCTTTTAAAATAAATAGAAATAAACAGAAACAGAGGGAACAACCAAGTGATTGTGAACAAAATGCAAAAATTAAATCCAAGGAATTTTCACAGTCACTGTCCGAAGGTCTTAGGTAGAGAAAAAATGTGAATATTTAATCAAAGACTGTGTATGAAATGGGACTGTAAGTACAGAGGGAAGGGTGGCCCTTATCGCCTGAAGTTGGCAGATGCGTCCCCTGTCATGAAATGTTGTGTCACTGCCCGACATTTGCTGAATTACTGAAATTTCGTAGAATTACTGCAAACTCTAACATTGTGCATCTAAGATTGTGGTTCCATGTTTCTAGTACTTTTCCATTAGAGCAGAAAGATGATGATTATCATGTCCTATTGATCAAATCAAGATCTGGTAACATTTCCTTTTAGTTTAACACAGAGTCTCCTAATGGCTTAGAAGTATGTAATCCATGTTACCTCTCGGAATAAAGTTACTTAAAAAATACAAAAAAGAAAGTTATTTAAAAAAAAAACAAAAAGATGATGGGATATGTAGGAAGTAAATAGCAAGTTGCGTATCATTAAATACTTCCCTGTTGAAAATACTGTCAATTGTGTTGTTCGATGTTGCTATGTAGAGTTCCCCAAAGTTATAAAATTTCAGACAGAAAAGATTTTAATGGTTCCCAAACAATCATTGCCTTGGCCTTCAACCAAAAATAACAGATTTCTTACCTGACTGCCCCCGCCCCCCGGCCCCGGCAAATGCCCATAGTGAAACATTTTTTAAAATCATAGAAAAATAAAATACAAACTATGTGTGATTAGTTATATGAACCAAAAGTACAGTAATTTGACAATTTCAAAATAACAATGACAAAAATTATGATTTGTAAATTGACATCTAACAATTAAAACCTCTTTTTAAAAGTGATATTATTATGTTTTTAATCTAACATCTAGTAAAATAATAAAAAGTACAGCAAAATATAAGAGGTGCTTGTCTCTACTTTCTGCTTAAGTACATAATTTGAACATACAGGATATCAAGAGTGTGATATAAAGAGGCTCATATGTACCTAATCAGTGCATCTGTTGACTATATTTTAGAACCTAAAGTCTAGACCAAGGAATGCGTAACAAGGTGGTCTTTTTTTTTTTTTTTTTTAAATAGGCCTTGTGAGTTTTTTTAGAACTAAAATAAATTAACCAAAGAGTTCCTTTAGTGTTTCATTGACAGGTAAGATTTTTCATTAGGGCTATCAGGGTTCTTCCAGCAGTGCCAAGGATCTTGCAAAGCAGCCTTCTTTCGCTTTCTCATGCTATTATTATATTATTGAGACAGAAACTTTGTAGAGTTCTGAACTTTAACTCAGTGTTACTTAACACTTATCCCTTTTAGATATATGTATTATTTTTCCCAAGGAACATGGTTTCATTTTATTTTAATTAAGTCATGTAAAATGGGTGTGCTTACAGAAAGAAAATATGCTAATAAGAAGTGGGTAATAATTTTCATGTGATACTAAATAATTCTCACAGGCAATTTTATACTTTTTAAATTACACGTAAGCCTATGATGCAAGGAATTAATTTTCACATTGATTTTTTAAGATATATAATATCAGTTTTTTAGTGACTTGTTTCACTCATCAATATAATTTTTATTTACTGTGTCACTGTACTAAAAATCTCTATTTTGTGTGGATGGAGGATTATAGTAAGCTCTGAGGCTAGTCAATCCATTTGGAAACTTGAGTTTGTTTTAAGGGAGCAGTATAGCAAACTAATATTAAGAAGCAGCTCTCACCCCATACCAGGTGTGTTCACTCTCCAAGGCAGATGATTGTATTCTGCTCAGGAATCTTCTCATAAGTAAATAATGAAGCACTTCTGTAATTTGTAAGCTCTGTGATTTTTATTTTTTCTCCTCTCCTGAAGACCTTCTTTCCCTCCATGTACCAGTTTATAGGCCTCCTCTGCTTGCCTTTCAATTGTTATGATTGTGAATTTTTTATTTTTAATTTTGCACTGTATTTGCAAGGTATGTCAGTTTTCACTAGTCGCAGGATCTGTGGGGCATCCATAACCCTACCTGGGCTGTTCATCTCACATCCCATTCTGGAGTGAACCTTCGGAAAGCTCCTCTGGCTCCAAGAAGCAAGTTTATCATTGCATACATATTTAATTACTTTAAATCCATTTTTAAGAGGTAAAGAAAGATAAGGTAATAGGTAATGAGGCAAGAAATAACTGCCAAGTACTTATAGAGTTGAGTTTATTTGATCCTTCCCCACACACACTCTTAGGTAAATCAAAGGAAACTGAGAAGGTCCTGGAGACTGATTCTCATGGTGGTGTGAGGCTGTAACTGAGAGCTCCAGGAGTGGCTGCTAGATATGTCCTCTCCTCCTTTCCCTTCTTTTCCTGCTGGGGACGAGGGCCTGTCCAGCTCCGTCCTAGACTTTTGAGAATATAGATTGGGGAGGGGAATATAGGCACAGAGATGACAGAATAACAAATGAAATTTGCACTTTAAAATTGTTCAAAATATGATCTGTTAAACATCTCCAGGTTTTTCAATATAAAATACTTTTTAGGTTCTTTTAAAGTATAAAAAAAAATCTTAGCCTCTCCAATTGCAGTTGGTTTAGGGAACTGAAAATTCCTCCTATGTTTATTTTTTAAATACAGCAGATCATAGTTTATTCCACTGCACGCCCTTCTTGTAGAAAGGTTTCTGTTTTCAGAGTGACTGATTTTCAGTGGATTTTCAGGAGGAAGAACCTAAAGTGTAAGTAGTAAGGCACCAACAGAGTAGAATTACTTTGTGTGAATTTAAACATTTAAAATAACAAAAAGCTAATAACCTATCACTTAATAATCCTTACCATGTGGCTGTAACTGTTCCAAGCATTTAAGGTAAATTAACTCATTTAATTCTCACCACAAAACCTGTGAAATAGGTGCTTAGTATTGTCTCCATTTTATAGATGAGAAAACAGACACAGAGATATAAACTTAACTGTTTGTGTTCAAACTGAATTTGAACTTAGTGAATATTATTCTAGAATCCGTTCTCTTAATACTTGCAATGTGTAGCCTATTTTAATTCTAAATTCAAGGTATGAGAATACAGAGTTGCTCTTGAAGTCAGGGTCCCCTTTTCACATTTTAAGTTTATAGTTCCTACATGGGACTAATTTAGGGATTCTAGGAATCAAACCAAAGAGTTAAATTCCTTTTTTGCGTTCCTAGTACTTTGATAGTAGAAGGTATAAGATCAGAAGAAAGACAACTTCTATTGTGCATTAAGAAGATGATGGGATATGTAGGAAGTAAATAGCAAGTTGCCTGTCATTAAATAATTTCCTGTTGAAAATACTGTCAGTTTTGTGTTGTTCGATGTTGTATATATAGAATTATATAGAGTTCCTCTAAATTATAAAATTTCAGACAGAAAAGAAGTTTTCTTTAAATTAGTGTTCTTTCACATTATCAGACATGAGTCTGTAACTTATCATGCTTACAATTTTTGTGCCTTGGCTACCAACAAATCTAGAGCAAAATTTTCCTTTCACTCACAATGACTCTTGTTATAACTTTTCTAGTGCAGCTATCCATCTTGCTCACATAGCTTCAATGCTGATTTTAATTATCCTAGCAGTCTTTTACAAATCCATGTTGAAAGTAGTTGGGGTAAAAACAAAAATCACATTTAAAAAATTTCTCCAATTTGCTTTCACCTGAGAACCCTGCAAGTCTGCTGGATATGACTTTGAGGCCCTTAGGAAGGCTGGAAAAAAAAAAAAAAAAACCACATTTCATCCATTTAACTTGTGAATGAAAACAACAGAAAGAACCCTGAGAGAAATCCATGGCTAATGTGTGCTTAGCACAGCCAAGTGTGCTCTGAATGAAACCAAGTCTTCACATACAGATACAAACCCCAACACATACAAAAAGAAAATATTGCTTTTATGAAAATCTAGATTGTATGATAGTCATAGACTAAGCATTTCATCCAGTTGCATAATAAAGAAGTGAAATCAAGCCCTTCTTAATTAGTGAGATTGCTGTAGTTATTAGGTGGGAATGAGTTTAATGCTTAAGAAATAAAATATGTAACCATGCATTTTCATAGATTTAAAATCTCTTGTTTTGTATCTCATCTGTAATTTTTGTAATGCAAAGTTGTTTTCTTACAGTTTTATTTTCTATAATAAGAATTCATTTTTATGATTCACAAACTGCATGTCTGTTTTGTTTTTTAAAGTGTTCAGATACAACTGGTCTGTAATTAAAACACTTTTCTCATTTAAGTGTTGGCTAAAATCAGAGCTTCAGATCTTTGTTTTGAGGTTGTATACCTTCTTCAGTCTGGTCTGTGAGGCCCCATAAATAGCTGAATTAGAGTTTTAGGAGATCAGTTTAAAGCTATTGCTCATATGTCTTGGCTGGGAACGTATTCTAACCAAGGTGGCTGCTGGGCTTTGTTCTCTCCATCGTCACTATGACCTAAAAAATTTAGTCCCAATATTTGGAGTTGGCAACCAAAAAGATTTTTTTTTCTTACTGTTATAAGGTACCAACGACTTATCAAGTGTAATGATATACAAGTGGAAGACTTACTAGAAAAACAAAAAGGTTAAATTGTAAAAATAAACTTTAAAATCATACTCTAATCAAATTTAGTCATGCTTTTAATTGGAAAATGTGCAACATTAATTTGCTTTCCAAAGTGCCAATAGCAATATAATTTAATAGTGCAAAATTACCAACACATAATTTGTTTTGCTTTGTTTTACTTTTCTGCACAGAAACGGACCAATGGACTGCGAAGAACTCCCAAGCAGGTGGATCCAGGTGTGTTTCTGATTAAACCTCCCATAATCATGGCTTCAGCTAAGTGCTTATGAAAGTATATGGGAATTGCTGTGGAAAGTCAGGCATATTGTTGGCCTTTGTTCCTCATAATTTGGTGACCAGGAGGTCACGGTCTAACGTGTAAATCATTCACAGGATGAGTAACTACCAGCAACCACCAGCCTTGCACTGTTTCCACAGTCAGCAGTTGAGCTGGTTATTTGCTTACTGAACAGCCTCAGGGTACCTGGTTAATGCTCACATATCCAGCACCCTCCCTGTATTCCTTTGTAAATCCAGTACGAAAACCAACCATCTAGCTGGCACTTAAAAATTACTGTTTTCTTAGTAAGTAGGGGAGAGGATAAACCAGGCAACTGGTACCCACCCCCCATTGGAGAAAATTTTTTTATTCTATATCAATACTATTTTATAATAGCAGCATTTTTAGGGGGACTTTGTGACAAGTTTCCTCTCAAGACCAATTATTTGCCTGCAGAAAACGTTCAGTTGTTTTCTATTTAGCATTGTGAGATTTGCCCTGTCATTATGTTAGCATAATTATTTTTCATCCATTATGCAATGCCTTCCTTCCACAGTTTAATTACCAAAGACTTTTTATGTATGTGATCCTTTTGTTGTGAGTAAAAGGTATTCACAGTTAAAGGATTCCAAATACACAAACTTGATAATACACCAAGGGGAACATGAAAAATAGAGTAGCTTTGCTGGAAAATAACCTGGACTATGTGTTTCATTTTGTTTTCCCATCATAAGTGGTATTCAGCTAGTTGTAAAGTTTAGTTTTCAAAGCATTATAGTTTATAACTGAAACCACACCCATGGTAGCCTTGCCAATTTATGAGCTGTTTAAGATTTATAGGAGCTTTGTTGCCTCTGGCTAGAAATTGCCTCACTTGTGTCCTGAGACTAATTTAAATCTTTTAACTACAGAACATATTTGAAGCCATTAAAAAAAAAACAGGGGTTCTGGTTTACTTTTTAATAGTTCTGACTTTCCCAAGACAATATCCTTTGCAGAGGACTCCCTGCAATATTTCGAAGTGACTTTCTCTATTATATTTAGTAGGGATATATGACTGTGAACATAATATTTTTGTCTTATTTTGTGTGAATTATAGTATTGCTATTTCAGAAAAATTACTTAACCTTTATAAATTTTATTTTTTAAATGTATTTTGTCTTTCTTCACCCCTCAGGGAAATGCATTTTTATATTTGTAGTGTGTCAATAGGAACATATTTGACTCAACAATTTATAGCCAAAATTTTCTAGAATCCTTTACATTATTTAGATTAGTAAATTCACAGATTATAAATATGGCAAAGTAGAACAACAATAAAACAAATTTATACTCCTTTATCCTAAAGGTGATGGCTTTGCATAGGTACAGTTTTTTTTTTGTTGTTTTGTTTTTCTATTTGTCCAAAAACTTTAGAACTTCATGAAGAATAAACTTACAGGAGAAATGCTGTTGTATGTTATGTTTGTAAGAACATAGGTGGCCGGACGCAGTGGCTCACACCTGTAATCCCAGCACTTTGGGAGGCTGAGGCGGGTGGATCACGAAGTCAGGAGATCAAGACCATTCTGGCTAACACGGAAACCCCATCTCTACTAAAAAAAAAAAAAAAAAAAATTATCCAGGCATGGTGGCAGACATCTGTAGTTCCAGCTATATGAGAGGCTGAGGCAGGAGAATGGCGAGAACCCAGGAGGCGGGGCTTGTGGTGAGCTGAGATCCTGCCACTACACTCCAGCCTGGGTGACAGAGCGAGACTCCATCTCAAAAAAAAAACAAAAAAAACAGATTATAGGTAATAGTTTTCCATTAGGTATAATAAATGTATGTGAGTGTAATTTTCCTTTTTCCATATTTTTGGAAATAAAGCAAACACTTGATGATCTTGCCTGTTGAAGCTGCTGATATAGTAAGGCTATTTCTTCCCACAGCTGTATTTTGATTTAGGCTTGACTTATGTATTTAAAGTTGCTTGACTTGTGCATCTTTGCCTCTTTCTGCTGGTTGGTTGCAAAGCTTCTTTGTTCAAAGTTAACCCTTGCTTGATGACCAGCGTGCCTTGATCCTTATGTGGCTATTGTTTAGAGATTTTCAGGCAAAATGTTTAAACAAGGGATCAGTAAAGTTGAGTCTGCATAGACAAACTGCTTCCACGATGCATTATTTACTGTTAGTATTTCTACCATGGAAGTTCATTTGATTTTTTTTTATCCGATAGTTAATTTACTTAACATCTCCAAGTGCCAATGCATGACTTTGTAGGGCCTCACTTAAAGTGGCTTATAAAAGCAACTAATTAAAGAGTTTAGGAGGCCAGGTGTAACCACCTCACCAGGTCCAAATTTCAGAGCCATGTTCAAAGGTATATTATATGTAGTCTCCATAGCCCTTTTGCGTTGGAAAGGAACTTAATGCATAGTCTAATGGGTAGTAGGTGCTTAATAAATGCTACATGAATAAGTGATGATACAGTTTTTTATGTATGCATTGGCATTCTTTCTTTTTAAATTACTCCTGCTGATGCACTAATGAAACACGGTATAGTCTAGTGGTAGGAAGCATGGCTCTGAGCCATGTTGCCTGGGCTTGGGACAGGCCTTATCTGTTTCCTTGCTGTTTGAACTTCGGCAGTTTGCCTCCTCTGTCTGTGCCATAGTTTCCTCATTTGTAAAAGGAAATTAATAAGAGGACCTACCTTACAACGTTGTTGTGAGCATTACGTGAGCTAATATATGTAGGCCAGGCATGGTGGCTCATTCCTGTAATCCTAGCACTTTGGGAGGCCAAGTGGGAGGATCACTTGAAGCCAGGAGCTTGGGACTCTGGTGAGCTGTGATGGCACCGCTACATTCCAGCCTGAGTGACAGAGCAAGACCTTATCTCAAGAAACAGAAGAGCGTGTAAAGTACTTTCAAAGGTGCCCAGTATATAGTAAATGCTAAGTATAGCAATTCCTATATTAACTAGTTTATATTAGAGCATGTTCTTTAATATTGGACATTTTGTCATGTGAAGGAGAAAAATATTAAACAGACCCTGAATTTTATGATGAATTTCTGTTGAAACAAAAAACTACATACACAGTCATTTTCAGATTTGTTGTTATTCCCCATTAATCTAATGGCATTCATGATCTTTTGCTTATGTTTACCAATAAACATAGTCAATTGTGATAGTTGAGAGTTTTTTTTGGTGAAATTATTACTGTTTGCTATTGCAATAAAGAAACAAAGAAAAACTCCCAATATTGAAAACATATATTGTGGGGTTTATTCAAATCCAAGAAAGAGGTGAACTATAGGTTTGCATTGTAGCTCGTTAGCACATTTAAATCATTCACTCCTTATTAATAATTGTGATTAATCTTTATTGACAATATTTGCAAATGGCTTTGCTCCTTATATTTTTGTGTCTTCTATTGTGTGCTAATAAATGTATCAATTTATAATCTTGACTTTTATAAATATAGTAATGTATTAGATGCAAATTCTGGTAGCTCTTTTGAATTTCTTAAATATAGCAGGGAATTTTCATCAGTTTGTACTATTCTTCTTAAGACAGATGTTGGTATCAGGAAAATAACACTTGTAACAGACATATCAATTATTTCAGGAACACAGAGGTGCTAGGCCTTTTTCAAGAACATGAGATCATAAATCTCAAGAAAATCTGAGCACTGATGTAATATTTTTCACCTAAAGTGGCAGTCAAGGTCAAAGTTACTAATTAAATTTTAATTCTGAGCTTTAAAAACTTCCTTTTGTCTCAGTGCAGGAGACACTAGATTAATTTCAGTTTGCATGTGGCAAATCTGTATACCAGGGCATGTATTGTTTTCACTGGGTCCATGTTTTTAGGTTATTGCAAAATTGTCTTATATTTGTGGAACTCATAGCATCCTGCATTTAAGCCTGCAGTCACTAGCTTTTAAACACTTCAGGCCATCATTCTGTGTTGTGCTGCCTAAAGATTATGTGGAGTAGATGGGAAATGTTTAAATAGCTTACACCCTTTCTGATCTTAAGTTACTCTTGTGCTTTGTGATAACCTTGAGTAATAAATGAATAGATAATGGTCAAATTGATAAGAGTCCTTTCTGACAACTCTTGTTTTTCAGATGCTCATTGTTAAACTCTTGATTACAAAGAGATGCATGTGGCTTAAAAAAACTGTCTTTTCTTATTCACCAAGGAGGCATCTTACTATTTCGTAGCAGAGACATGTTCAAAGATGGTCACTTCCTCTTTCAGGTGGATAGGATTGACATATAACGCCATTCTTATTTGTTCTTGTGTGAAGAAAGGAATCTAAGAAATCTTTCTTTCATTACCAATTTCATTTCTTAATGTGACATTAAGGACAGGATTGTCATTAATTATAAAACATGGCCCCTTTCCCCAAAGAATTTATATTCTTCCTAGGAAAAGAATAGATACAGACACAAAGTTCTGATTGCATAAATGCATGTCTGTAAATGTACATATAAATTTTTTTAATGTTATATACTATTTTTATGCAGATTTATTACTGTATAGCAGTGTCTTAAAATAGTTTGAGTAGTATGATAAACATCTGAAAAGATCTAGGATTACACAATACATACAAGAAAGCAAAACAAATTGGGAAAGATAAATGTCTCAAATTGCTTTTAAGCTGGGTTACATATGAATGTTTTCCTTTATATAAATAAAAATTTTTATACTGGTTTATTGTATTGAATTACAATTTAATACTATTGTTTTTAGTGTTTTAATTTCAAAGGATTGTGAAATGCATTCCAAGTGTAAACAGAATTGTTGCTTTCTTTTAGATTTGCTTTTAAATGTAAAATCAATATGCTCAATAGAGAAATTTTATATTTTTGTTTCCAAATAGAAAACATTGAGAAAAATAGCAACACAGTGTTTTTAAATGCACTTATCTAAAAATACATTTCATCTCTTTTCTTTTTTATGAG